CCTTCGCACGTATATACGACAAAAACTTGTCTGTTCGTAGTTTTCCGTGAACACGAAAATGACCGAAAAGTGTCAGTGATTTGATCGATCACATACGGAGAATCAACTTCCATGCCAGATATTAAACCAATTAACGAGTTATCGAAAGATGGGCGGTAACGCAGATGAAACCTTTGAAGTGACGACGTTGTTATTTCTTTTAAATATTACTTCCATGAGTAGATGCATGTCTATCTCATCAGAATTTTGGTATGTCATGTCTTACTATTTTACGTCATTTGGAGAATTGTGTTTTTAACATGCTAGGTCTTAAATGATTGAATCTGTGAAACTTTTTTTTAATGTGAAATGCATCATTGTTAACATAACAGTTGTTCTGAAATGCTTAAAAAAGTAAATCAAATAACACATTTCATAAATATGTTTTTGCATGTATTTAAGCCCATGCAATAACTGCCTTTCTAAAGTGTTGACTACTATTCTTTCTACAGTAAAAGATGGCCTTCAAAAATATTGTGATGAGATATATTCAACTTGTGGTGTCAATCAGATGTAGATTCACAAAAATTCTAAACATCTACTGCTAAATCTTAGATCACAATCTCTGCAATTTTGCAGCAACATTTAGACCTTTGATTTGTCTACGCTTTACACTACTATTCCCCATGCTCAATTGAAAGATCGACTTCGCCATCTCATTAAACAGAGCTTTTTCTTTATAAAAATGGGAATCGTAGATATAAATTTCTTGTTTTGGGTTATAATAATTTTGTATTTTGTGAAGAACCACACTGATTCTATCAGAAAATACAGTGAAGATGATTTTATCAAAATGCTGGACTTTTTAATCGACAATATATTTGTTGAGTTTGGAGGATTGATATTTCAACAGACAGTCGGTATTCCAATGGGTACTAAATGTGTACCACTTCTGGCCGACTTGTTTTTGTACTCGTATGAAGCAGAATTCATTCAGAACCTTCTAAAAGACAAAAAGAAAAAGCACCTTGCAAAATTCTTTAATTTTACTTTCAGATATATTGATGATGTCCTATCACTGAATAACCCATATTTCAGTCAGTACTTGGATCTCATATATCCCAGTGAACTTGAAACTAAGGATACTACTGAAAGAAGAAGGACTGCTTCATACCTTGATCTTTTCCTCAATATTGTCACAGATGGACGACTTCACAAAAATCTATGACAAACGGGATGATTTCAACTTCCCAATTATCAATTTCCCATTTCTGAGCAGTAACATACCATCTGCTCCGTCGTATAGTGTTAACATATCTCAACTGATACGTTATGCTCATGCATGTTCACACAATACGGACCGCATATACAAGAGTGTGCTCCTTACACATAAACTGATCCAACAGAGTTCTGAGAAGGAAAGATTAAAAATGACACTCCGTAAATTTTATGGACACCATCACGAATTGGTTGATCTACTAGTATACGATGTGTCTGTGTCTAAACTAACTAATGACATTTTTACCACGTCTTAGATTGTGGTTTAACATCTATGTCGTCTGTCTGCTAAGTACCGAACGTGACCTATTCCCGAATATGACTGTTATACCGAGTGTTAATTTGCATTGCTATACGATGTGTCTCTGTATTTTGTACATCCAACCTTCATGTATTTATTTTTGATGTTTCTGTTATGGTTTCGGTTGGATAATGTGTTATGTAGGTGTAAGATGGGGTGCCAATGAATTATTACTGTGTATCATTACAGGAACAATTCTATTCACTAATGGTGTAATATGGGGTGCCAATGCTTTATTACTGATCCTAGATGCCACAGGAAAACCTGGTTTTCTGTTGAAGTACAAATTTTAAGAAGACAAAAGTGTACCAGTAAGTTCCCAAGTCAAAGTGGACAGCAGTTCTTTAGCAGTTTATTAGCATTCACAGTTCTTACTCGACAGCTGTTCTTTAGCAGTTCATTAGCATTCACAGTTGCCAAACTCAAGGCAATAGTTAATTTGCATATAGCCATTCCAATAGCATTCCATAGCAGTTTCTTAGCAGTTTATGTAGCCTTCACAGTTATTTAGCAGTTATTTTTGACGAAAAATTTAAATGAGATACTCAAAAACTGCTATCTTCCCTGAATATTCATGAGAACTGCTATAATAACAGCTATCAATAATGAATATTCATAGAAACTGCTAAGTTGTGCAATCCATTTCTAAACTGCTAATAACTGCTATGGAATGCTATCAGATCTGTCAAAAGTTGGAATACAAAGGTACACTTGAATATACAGTGTACAAGATATGAATGCAAAAATAAAATTCTAATATTTTGACTGCAAGTCTTGTTGAAATTTCAAAAAGTTGCACCAGCTTATATTTGTGATTTGAGCAGTAACTGCAATCAAATGACTCTATTTTAATCCAATAACAGACTTGTCAAGGGGTGTAAACATGCTTTGTGAGTACTGTACCTGGCCTTATACCCCTTATTAATTATGTCAGTGTCAGAATAATAGGAACAGTTAAGAATTATAATGCACTTTAAATATCAGTGCTTATAAAAAGCAACTTATTCAATAAGAGTGGTACCTTAAGAGACTATTTATTACCTTGACTAAGTGATTTTCAGATTAAAAGTAATTTTATTTTTATTATTATTTAATTACCAAAATGTACTACTAATTTCTCTTCTACTTTATATATTTTGTGTGGATCAAAAGAAAACAGTTATCTCCTCTTTCTCTTTTGGAATTAAACAAAATAATTCTTAATACATGTAATATATTATGTTTCCACTTTCTGAAAAAATTTAAGTAACATATATATTAACTTCATTAAATGGATTGCTTGGTCAATATTAAACAATCAGCTATATGTGACCTAGGTTTCCCTAATATTCCCTCCCCCTTTTTCAACGCTTGAATATGATTTATTTTTGTTCTTTTTACAAAATTATATTAAAATATTCATATTTTTATTTTCAATTAACATCTTGCACTGTTAGTATATGCTAGTATTTTATTACAATCCTATCATCATCAGATATTCTATTTGAATAAACAACTATCCCCCCTTTTTTGGGGCTTTCTGTATTATTTTTGTTTTCCCTACAAAGTTATGTCAGAAAATACACATGCATTATCTGTAACTTCAACTTACTGTACTGCAGGTGTGAGAAATTATTCCATTTAGCCCAAATTAAACTTCATAAATGACAAAAATACAGTTTTTCACTAGCAAGTATTTACACACAGCTTGGAGCCAAAATGCACATTTGAAAATGATCAAATAACCTTCAAATAAAGGTTTACTATCAAGCTAAAAACACAGCCAGATCCAAGCATTTTTATAACAAAGATTAAAACCAAAACTGCTATCAAACTGCTATTGAACTGCTGTCATAACTGTTGTCCAATTGACAAATTGACAACAGTTTAGAAGGTAGATCCAGACTGCTAAGATGAATGCTAAGAGGAATGCTAAGAAATGGTGAAATAAGGCAGTTTCTCAAACTGCTATTAGATGGAATGCTATGAACAGCTGAAAGACTGCTAAAAATATGAAGAACTGGTAAATAACAGCTAATAAACTGCTAATGATAGCAGTTCAGTTTGACTTGGGTTGTTATTACTCATGTATTGACAATAATTAATTATTGTTATTATAACTTATATAGGTGATAAACAATTCTATTGGGTAACATGTTTATAATCATGTGACATAGGTGATAAACAATTCTATTGAGTAACACAGTAATACGTGACATAGGTGATAAACAATTCTATTGGGTAACATGTTTATAATCATGTGACATGGAAGGATTCAGTTAAGGTGGTACATAACACTACAGGGAGATAACTCTGTAAAAATCAGCTGAACGTTTTAATCACGTTCTATTGTTAAGGAAATATCAAGCTTCTCAATGATCAAAATTAGTGTTTGTCAAACTGCTATATATATATTCAATGAAAGTTTTCAGATATAGTGTGTGGTTAAAGTTTTTTGAAATTTTTATATTTTTGTCAAAGGGTCAGAGTAGATATTTTGACAAAATGTTCTGAAAATTAAACGAGCCAAATTAATTTTAGTCAAGGTGTTTGGTACCACCTTAATGTTCATTTAAGGTCAAGTTAACAGTCATTTGACAGTAAATGGGTTATGTCACAGATTTTCTTACCATGTTGCATACAACTTTGGCTCGTTGAACTTGAACTGAAAATCAAAATAATAATGCATTTATCTGTTTTATTTTCTAAAATATTACTGATTGACTTCTTTCAAAATATGTGAATATTTGTGTAGGAAGCACATAAAATCAGTGAAAAAATTCTTAAATTTGTCTTAAAATCGTCAAATTTCAAATCAGTAGATTTTTCCTTGAAAGACTATATATTGTTGGTACTAAAATTTCCGTTTTAATCATGTAAATTATAACATATGGTCACTGACTTCATTGTAACGGTATGTATAATTGTAAGTGCTGTTCTAGGTGAATTAATCATTACATCATCGCGTTGTAGGCCGCTAAACGTTGATTTTTTTACGTTTTTCACTACCAACAAGATAACAGTTTGGTTAATACACAAAAAATGTTGTCGGTGACCATATGATTATTTTATATCATTAAAACGGAAGTTTATATTCCAACAATTTTACTTGTTTAAGATAAATCTATGGATTTGAAGATTTTGAGACAAATGTAAGAATGTTTTTTTCCGATTTTATGTGCTTTCTATACAAGTTCTCACCTATTTTGAAAGAATTCAATCAGTAATATTTCAGAAAATTAAAAAAAATGAATGCTTTATAATTCAATCTGTGACATAGCCCATTTACTATTCCTTGACCTTTAATGCAAGGAAGGACGAATAACCCTAAAAATTTACACCCAGCAATGAATAACCCTATTATTCACCGGTGAATAACCTTTTCAGATTCTTGATTTGTACACAAGTTATCTCCCATCAAAATGACATCACAGACTTATGTAATCTTTTTATTAAACAGGTTGATAGAGAGAAGTTAAAGAAGGCTGTGAAAATTGTTTTGTTTAATGGATTTGTTGTTTCCTTTCCCATGACATTGTTTGGATTTTATTTGATGAAATGGCGTGGCTGTGCTATTAGTGGTGAGATGCCTTCATTTGCCTGGATTCTGTTAGAGCTAACTGTGTTTAGTTTGGTGGAAGAAATTGGATTTTACTACTCTCACAGGTACAATAAACATAGACAAGTTATTTAAAGTTGATACACATAAATTACAAGTAATATAAGCTCTGTAGATTCTGGGAACATCCTAAAGGTATAACACACAATACAGGGAACATCTCACAGGTATAATACACAATACAGGGAACATCTCACAGGTATAATACACAATACAGGGAACATCTCACAGGTATAATACACAATACAGGGAACATCTCACAGGTATAATACACAATACAGGGAACATCTACAGGTATAATACACTATACAGGGAACATCTCACAGGTATAATACACTATACAGGAAATATCTCACAGGTATATATAATACACTATACAGGAAATATCTCACAGTTATGATATGATATTATTACAGGATTATTTCTGTATTGGCCTTTTTATTGGTTAGAGGCTTGATGGTGTAACGTTAGTTTGCCTCAACCTTATGTTAAGAAACTTATACACAATGCTTATTACCACACAACACAGAACAAGTTTAAATTTGGTAGGCGTCCAATTTATTTTTCTAGAGTAAAGCCCCTTTACAAATGGACAAATTGCTGAATTTTTCGTTTCTGTTCTCTAACTTAAGTTAACCTCAACCAAATGTTAAGAAACTCATACACAATGCTTATTACCACAAAACTCAGATCAAGTATGATTTTGGGTATTGTCACTTTTATCTTTCTTGAGTTATGCCCCTTTATAACATTATATGCAAGAGGGGGCATTATCTGTGTCCCATGGACACATTCCCCATTTATTTGTGTTACATTTCTTTGCACAAGATTTTTTCATCCAAACGTGTAAGTGTGTTTTTGTGAATTAAATAATTGTCATAGTTTTAACAACATTTCTGTACCTGGAACTGAAACTATCCAGATCTGACATTTCATTTATAAGTTGGAAATGCCAAATGCTGAATATCTGGTGCTGTTTTGAGGTATTATCTCTTTCTATATCTTGAAACTGAGGATTTCACCCTTCTCAGTCACTATAAAACATAAATAGTAACCGAAAAGGTACTGACATTGCATGAGATGTAGGAAGAAAATAAAATATACAAGTAAAATGGATGTGGTTAGGTAGGAAAGAAATTACCAAACCCACAACCAACATACATTCTTTAAGTAATTTTGCAAACATTAAATAGACTTGTAAACCAATACAAGTATTTCAGGCTTCTTGGAGTCTCAGACTGACGCACTGTCTTCATTTTAAGTTATGTTTATATTTCAAAGTAATGGAGTATTTGAGACTAAACTTTTTATAATTCATACTGAAGCACCTTCCCAGAAATTATATGATTATTTTATATCACAGACTGAAGCATTTAACATATTTTTTTATATTTCAAACTTTTGCACTGCCCTTAGACTTTAAATTTGATTTATATAAATTTACAACTGAATTTTTACTTTTGTGTATATTTAAAACTAAAACACAGCCTCAGATTTGATGTTTTTTTATATTACAGACTGATGCATCATCACAGACTTTATAAGCACTTCCATAAGCTACACTATGAATGGACAGCTCCAATAGGGATTATATGTATCTATGTTTTATATTACAGACTGATGCACCATCCCAGACTTTATAAGCACTTCCATAAGCTACACCATGAATGGACAGCTCCAATAGGGATTATATGTATCTATGTTTTATATTACAGACTGATGCACCATCCCAGACTTTATAAGCACTTCCATAAGCTACACCATGAATGGACAGATCCAATAGGGATTATATGTATCTATGTTTTATATTGCAGACTGATGCACCATCCCAGACTTTATAAGCACTTCCATAAGCTACACCATGAATGGACAGCTCCAATAGGGATTATATGTATCTATGTTTTATATTACAGACTGATGCACCATCCCAGACTTTATAAGCACTTCCATAAGCTACACCATGAATGGACAGCTCCAATAGGGATTATATGTATCTATGTTTTATATTGCAGACTGATGCACCATCCCAGACTTTATAAGCACTTCCATAAGCTACACCATGAATGGACAGATCCAATAGGGATTATATGTATCTATGTTTTATATTACAGACTGATGCACCATCCCAGACTTTATAATCACTTACATAAGCTACACCATGAATGGAAAGCTCCAATAGGGATTATATGTATCTATGTTTTATATTACAGACTGATGCACCATCCCAGACTTTATAATCACTTACATAAGCTACACCATGAATGGACAGCTCCAATAGGGATTATATGTATCTATGTTTTATATTACAGACTGATGCACCATCCCAGACTTTATAAGCACTTCCATAAGCTACACCATGAATGGACAGCTCCAATAGGGATTATATGTATCTATGTTTTATATTACAGACTGATGCACCATCCCAGACTTTATAAGCACTTCCATAAGCTACACCATGAATGGACAGCTCCAATAGGGATTATATGTATCTATGCTTTATATTACAGACTGATGCACCATCCCAGACTTTATAAGCACTTCCATAAGCTACACCATGAATGGACAGCTCCAATAGGGATTATATGTATCTATGTTTTATATTTCAGACTGATGCACCATCCCAGACTTTATAAGCACTTCCATAAGCTACACCATGAATGGACAGCTCCAATAGGGATTATATGTATCTATGTTTTATATTTCAGACTGATGCACCATCCCAGACTTTATAAGCACTTCCATAAGCTACACCATGAATGGACAGCTCCAATAGGGATTATATGTATCTATGTTTTATATTACAGACTGATGCACCATCCCAGACTTTATAAGTACTTCCATAAGCTACACCATGAATGGACAGCTCCAATAGGGATTATATGTATCTATGTTTTATATTACAGACTGATGCACCATCCCAGACTTTATAAGCACTTCCATAAGCTACACCATGAATGGACAGCTCCAATAGGGATTATATGTATCTATGTTTTATATTACAGACTGATGCACCATCCCAGACTTTATAAGCACTTCCATAAGCTACACCATGAATGGACAGCTCCAATAGGGATTATATGTATCTATGTTTTATATTTCAGACTGATGCACCATCCCAGACTTTATAAGCACTTCCATAAGCTACACCATGAGTGGACAGCTCCAATAGGGATTATATGTATCTATGTTTTATATTTCAGACTGATGCACCATCCCAGACTTTATAAGCACTTCCATAAGCTACACCATGAATGGACAGCTCCAATAGGGATTATATGTATCTATGTTTTATATTACAGACTGATGCACCATCCCAGACTTTGTAAGTACTTCCATAAGCTACACCATGAATGGACAGCTCCAATAGGGATTATATGTATCTATGTTTTATATTACAGACTGATGCACCATCCCAGACTTTATAAGTACTTCCATAAGCTACACCATGAATGGACAGCTCCAATATGGATTATATGTATCTATGCTCCAATAGGGATTATATGTATCTATGCTCCAATAGGGATTATATGTATCTATGCTCCAATAGGGATTATATGTATCTATGCTCATCCCTTAGAGCACTGTATCAGTAACTTAATGCCTATCATGATGGGACCAATAATAATGGGGTCACACTTAGCTACAGGTTGGATGTGGTTCTTCGTTGCTCTGGTGTCTACGACTATATCCCACAGTGGATATCATTTCCCGTTCCTCCCATCACCTGAGGCACATGATTTCCATCATCAGAAGTAAGTCATATGTGAACTCCGTGTAATCACAGTCAGAAGTAAGTCTTATGTGAACTCCGTGTAATCACACATAGTCATAGTCATATGTGAACTCAGTGTAATCACAGTCAGAAGTAAGTCATATGTGAACTCAGTGTAATCACAGTCAGAAGTAAGTCATATGTGAACTCAGTGTAATCACAGTCAGAAGTAAGTCATATGTGAACTCAGTGTAATCACACATAGTCATAGTCATGTGTGAACTCAGTGTTATCACAGTGAGAAGTAAGTCATATGTGAACTCAGTGTAATCACACATAGTCATAGTCAGATGTTATATATATAGTTTTACAAAATATCTAAAGAATGACTTTTAAGAATCTATACTTTTTTTATGCCCCCGCCGTAGCGGTGGGGGCATTAAGTTTTGCCCTTGTCCGTCTGTACGTCCAAACATCCCAAAATTGGTTTCCGTTCTCTAACTTGAGTTTGCCTCAACCTTATGTTATGTAACTTATGCACAATGCTTATTACCACAAAACACAGATCAAGTTTGAATTTTGGTGGCTTCACTTTAACCGTTCTACAGTTATGCCCCTCTATAAATAGAAATATTGCAAAATTTTAGTTTCCGTTCTCTAACTTAAGTTTGCCTCAACCAAATGTTATGAAACTTATACACAATGCTTATTACCACAAAACACAGATCAAGTTAGAATTTTGGTGGCGTCACTTTAACCGTTCTAGAGTTATGCCCCTTTATAAATTGAAATATTGGAAAATTTTAGTTTCCGTTCTCTAACTAAAGTTTGCCTCAACCAAATGTTATGACACTTATACACAATGCTTATTACCACAAAACACAGATCAAGTTTGAATTTTGGTGGCGTCACTTTAACCGTTCTAGAGTTATGCCCCTTTATAAATTGAAATATTGCAAAATTTTTAGTTTCCGTTCTCTAACTTAAGTTTGCCTCAACCAAATGTTATGAAACTTATACACAATGCTTATTACCACAAAACACAGATCAAGTTTGAATTTTGGTGGCTTCACTATAACCGTTCTAGAGTTATGCCCCTCTATAAATTGAAATATTGCAAAATTTTAGTTTCCGTTCTCTAACTTAAGTTTGCCTCAACCAAATGTTATGAAACTTATACACAATGCTTATTACCACAAAACACAGATCAAGTTTGAATTTTGGTGGCGTCACTTTAACCGTTCTAGAGTTATGCCCCTTTATAAATGGATAAATTGCAAAATTTTTAGTTTCCGTTCTCTAACTTAAGTTTGCCTAAACCAAATGTTATGAAACTTATACACAATGCTTATTACTACATAATACAGATTAAGACATTCATTAAGGACGAAATTTGGTGGCGACACTTTTACCATTCTTGAGTTATGTCCCTTTAGAAACATGAAAATTGCTGAATTTTTCGTTTCCATTCTCTAACTTTAGTTTGTCTCAACCAAATGTTGAAACTTATACACAACCGTTCTAGAGTTATGCGTGTTTACAAATAGAAAAATTGCTGAATTTTTAGTTTCTGTTCTCTACTTCAGTTAGCCTCAACCAAATGTTATGAGACTTACACACAATGCTTGTTACCACAAAACTCAGATCAAGTTCAAATTTGGGTAGCGTCACTTTTACCGTTCTTCAGTTATGTCCCTTTATAACTTTATGATATGCAAGCAGGGGCATCATCTGTGTCCACATGTGGAGACTATCCACATTTATGTATTTATAGTTTTAAAGGTAGAAAAAAGATATGCATTTCATTTGGCATTTTTATTCTAGCCTTTGGTTAGAATAGCCAAATCATTTGATATTTCTGTGGGTCTAGCTTGGGGTAAGAATAGCCAAGACAATCTGTATTAATTTCGATCCAGTCTTTCTCATTGGCAATCATACCACATCTCCTTATTTTTGTATTTTTTATTTAAGTTAAATAAATAAAACAGTTTATATTAATTTTGGTCAAGACTAGGGTTAGAATGGCCAAAACAACTGTTGATAATTCGAGATTAGTCTTTGGTTGTGTTGTGAGCTGAACAGACTGATAGAGATTGTGGTAAATAGTGAAAGGCAAAAAATTGGATTTTGCATTTTTTTTTACTCATCTTTTTATTAGTTATCTCCTACAGTTTCCATAAACATTTCATGCTGTCTTTATTTAATGTTAACAACTGACTTCCATTGTCAAAATTTATGATTCTGTAACGGAAGAGCATGTCTTTAACTAGAAAATCCCATTGTTACCTCCAGGACCTCTGTGTTTTACGTCAGTACTCTAACAGACTGAGCTAAAGAAGTACTTCCCTAGCTCAACAGCTTAAGGCTTGCGAAGTATTTAATTTTTAAGAAAAGCATACCTGTCCCAATAGAATTTACTAAAATAGTGAAAACTGAAGTCAGTTTGCCCATTTGACCAATGCAAAAGGCACATAATAATTTAAAATTGTGTAAAACTAGAACTAGATTCAGATAAACATGACATTTTCTGAATTCAATGATTTTCAATCTCCCTAGCAAATCACAAAACAAATGTCATTAAACTGACATATTTGCTCTTTTTTTTTGGCTTGAACCCTAACAAATGCTTAATGTACATACTTATTACTATATCTGATGATTTGATTGTTTTATAGGTTTACCAACTGTTTTGGAGTTCTTGGTGTACTGGATCGCCTCCATGGAACAGACAACAACTTCAGGTCCAGTAAAGCCTACGAGAGACACATCATGTTACTAAGTCTGACACCCCTGTCTCAACAATATCCAGATACACCACCAAAACAATGTTTGGAGAAAACATCTGATTACAAACGTGATTAAAAGGTTTTAATACCACACATAATTGTGGGAAACAACCTATTTTACAATGTTTAATATTTGATTATTTTACGTCAACAATTTTTTTGTTACCCTTGTGTTATTGAAGGACATATTGACTGACTTTTAAACTGTAGCCATTGAAAGGTACATTATAGGTTGTTAGACCAGATTTGCTGTTGTGATCTGATGTGTGAAAGTTATTTGATCTGTTTTACAGCTTTGCTGTTTTTTTTTTTTATGTCCATATGTTATTATTCGGCTCAGTCTCAGAGCTCATTTACATTTAGTTTAAATCAAATAATGCATTAGGTGAGACAGTCTACTGTTTTTTCAACACTTGTTTTCAATTTGTTTTTTTAGAGATTGACACCCAGTATAATTTATCTATTAACTTGGACTTCCAGAATGTATTATTTTTTATTAATATTCATTGTACATTTTTATCAGTTTAGAAATGACTAGAGCAGAAACTTTCATTCAATATAAGATAAACTTATTATATATAAATAGATCCATTGATAGATTGATGAATGGTGCTTCACACTATACTTGGCACATTTAGCTATATCAAGGCAGTTTTTATTGCTAGCTCATGGTGTATGTTTTGCTTTGACTTATAATTATTGATTGTCCTGTTGGTACATTCTGCCTCTTGTTATATATAGAAATTATATTTACTTTTATTAATTATGCCTTTAAATGAAGTAAATTGAATATTGGACTAAATAGGTCACTAATGTTAAGATACCGGGTACTTAAAGGATAAATGTACCTTGTAAATTAAAAATGTAACTTACAAAATGTATAAGGAATTGCTGCCTAGACCATGTAGACTGCAAATTCTGCTTTTTGTTTTACATATATTTAATTACCATGCAAAAAATAATGGTTAGTACTTTTATTAGTTATATTTACATTATCAGAGGATTCAAGAAACTATTAATTTGGTTACCTGTGAAAATACAGGTAAAAACTAAGAAGGGAACACCGATTATGTGGACACAAACACAGAAATAGTAACACCTGTGTTTGTTTGTCTTTATGTGCTACATTTTTTAATGTCATATAATTTGTACAGAAATTGTTATACTATTTATAAGGATTTAAAAGTGCTGCAATTAAGACTAGAGGATGCTATGAGTTAAGTTAAGCAGCTGATGGCATTTTAACATATTTTAGCATAATTTGGATTGTGTTATAATTATTTAGTTTTTTCTTGCATTTCAATGCTTTCATAGATCTGCAAGTCTTGCCATGTTGTATTTGCAATACCTTTTTCTGATATTTGTTCTGTTATACACTAGTAGTTGTACTGTTGATAGTCTGTTTTCTTTAAGTCTCTCTCCATTGTCAACATAGTTGTTGTGATTGTGACTGTCATCTGTCTATAATATTTCAAAACTATCTTCGGAAATCAAAGGCGCAATACTCAATAACAATCAACCTTAGTGTGTTAAATTAAATATCTATGAGTGTAAAACAGGCAAAATGGTTGTACTTATGACTCTTTTTAAATTTTGATTAATTTCAGTTAAAAGTTCAGTAATAACTAGTTTCAGATAAATCACAAAATACTGTTCTTGTTTTTTCACATGCACTGATGTTTGATTTTTTTTCTCACCACAGTTAATCCACAAGCAAATTATCCCATTATGTGACGACTGTAAATTCTAGTATATAGTAGTTTTGAACATGGATTACCTGTCACAAATATGTAATAGAAATGAAGAAATTGCAAATTTTTAAGATAAACATGTTGTGAACTATAGGTCTGACGAGTGGGGATAAAAAACATTGAACATTTGAAAACTGTTTAACTGTGTAACCAGAATACAATATGCTATCTAGTTTAAACATTTAGATTAAAATACTGTTAACCAACTTTTTTTTCTTGCTTACCTCTCTCTAGTAGATTTCTTGCTGACTTAGTTTCACTGTTTCTTTTGTTCTTGGATTAATACTCATATGTTTCAAGTTTGACATCATTGTATTTGCGTTTTTTTTTTTTACTTGCTGAAGTCTTAAAATGAAATCACTCCCATTTATAAGTTGGTCAACAGTATGTCACTTAATCACTGTTGTGCTTTTCCTGGTAAAAAAAATACCAGATTGAAATTTTTGTATTAACTTTTGTTGCATTTAAAAAACAACAGTACATTATATAATAAATAATAATATTTCATTATAACTTTAGTAACATTCTTGGTTTTGCTATTTTCAATTCGACAATCAATGCAGTTTTCTTTTTGTGATATTTGTCAATGTAAATAAAATATTATTTTTTGCTGAAATTTTTTTAATTTATTTTGTTAAACCGTGGATTTCAATGTCAAAAGAGTCATCATAGATAGCACATTTAAAACTTTGTACGCTGCCAGACACAAGTTTCATTTACAAAAGACTTATCAGTGATGCTCAAATCAAAGGGTGGAAACATCTGAATTTCTCTTATTTGTTTACAAGTCCCTATCTTGATGAAGGAAAATAAATCTAAGACCACAAAGACATGAAAATTTCAACTCCCCCCCCCCCCTTTTCCAACATATTTTTATTATTTTTCAATAAAATAGTGTACTGTAAATTCAGAAATTATTGCGTGCGTTTATTATTGCGATTTTAAAGAATTGGAAAAAATGCGAGATTAATTATTGCGATTTCAGGAAAAAGTGAATAGAAATACATGTATATGTATAAGATATCAGAATGTGAGGTTTTATTATTGCAATACTCATGCAATCGCATTATTCGCATTAATAAAAACCTCGCAATAATTTCTGAATTTACAGTATCAGTAGTGGAAACATAGCTTCAAGTTGGGAAGTTGTTTGTGACTTCAGGGAACTTTATTTAGATATGTAAAAATAGGGAGATGTGGTATGATTGTCAATAAGACAACTATCCACCAATGTTCAAATGAAGTGGATGTAAGCAATTATAGGCAACCATACAGCCTTCAACAATGAGAAAAACCCATACCATAAAGTCTTCTATAAATGGTCGACATGAAAAATGTGAAACTATTCAATTGAGAAAACTAACAGCATATTTTATAACAAAACAAATAACAAAAAACGAATATGACAGACATGAACCAACAACAACCACTGAAATACAAGCTTCTAACTTGGGACAGGCACATAAAGAAAGTGGTGGAGTTAAACATGGTTGAAGGCGCCAACCATCTCCTGACCTGGGACTATGGTGCAACGGCACAACACAAGAACAAACTATTCAAAACAATAAACAAAATACACAAATATGAGAAACAGCAATAAAAGACAATCACTCAATTACAGGCTCCTGACTTGGGACAGGCACATATAGAATGTTTGTTTTAATAGATACGCCTATTATGGTTTCATTGACATTTATTACACCTTCGCTCAATTTCCAGATTTGTACTTATAGCAATATCACCAAATATTCATAGCATTGAATCAATATTGTCCACTTGAATTGTGTTGTCTAATTGATAAGTTCCTGGAAGAACATGTTGAAACTTAGGATTTTTATCTAAACAATTTAGCGGAGCAGAACGAGGCAAAACAAAAATCGATGTCTTTCGTGCCTTAAAAAAAATTTCCTTTAAGAGGAAGCATTGGGTGTGGGGCATCTGACTCAACATCTAAAGGTCATATTAAATGGAAAATTATTCATATATAGACATATCAAAAATTCAACACTTGACTCCTAGATATCATCTTTAACCATTGAAATATATGCTCAATCACGAGTTTTACGATCAGTGTATTTATTATATGCAAAAAACCTCAAACTATTATTTCCTATAATTGTCATTCTTCATGTCCAACAAACAAACAAAAGATGGTCATGACTCGCACGAATAAAACATTGAAATGAAGTTTGAAGCCAAAACTTATTCATTAAATTAGCTATAAATTTGCATGTTTGAAATACAAAACTTCTCAAATCTTGTACATATTTTTCAATGCCTCCCCCCATCTGAAGCATTGAAAATTTGACAAAAAACGTTTCCATTCCCAAAAATTTTCAAGGCCCCCCTTAATTTCCTCCCACCCCCTTTTTAGCTCACCGGGGCCCGAAGGGCCCCATGTGAGCTTATGACATCACTTGGCGTCCGTCGTCGTCCGTCGTCGTCCGTCGTAAACTATTTAAAAAATCTTCTCCTCTGAAACTACTAAGCCAAATACCTTCAAAATTTAACTAAATGTTCCTTAGGGTATCTAGTTTTTAAATTTTTTTCCGAAGTTTTGATCCATCGACAAACATGGCCGCCATGGCTAAAAATAGAACATAGGGGTCAAATGCAGTTTTTGGCTTATATCTCAAAAACTAAAGCTTTTAGAGCAAATCTGACATTGGGTAAAATTGTTCAATTGGTCAAGATCTAACAGCTCTGAAATTTTCTGACGAATTGAACAACCCATTGTTGGGTTGCTGCCACCGAATTGGTAGTTTTAACAAAATTTTGCAGTTTTTTGTTATTATTTTGAATATTATTATAGATATTTATAAACTGTAAGCAGCAATAATGTTCAGCAAAGTAAGATCTACAAAAAAGTTAATATGACCATAATTGTCAATTGACCCCTTAAGGAGTTATTGCCCTTTATTGACAACTTTACACAATTTGTTCATCAAGTTTGCTAACATTTAAAAATCTTCTCCTCTGAAACTACTGGGCCAATTACCTTCAAACTTTAACTAAATGTTCCTTAGGGTATCTTGTTTATAAATTGTATCCAAAGTTTGTATCCATCGACAAACATGGCCACCATGGCTAAAAATAGAACATAAGGGTCAAATGCAGTTTTTGGCTTATATCTCAAAAACTAAATCTTTTAGAGCAAATGTGACATGGGGGTAAAATTGTTTATTTGGTCAAGATCTATTGGCCCTGAAATTATCAGACGAATCGAACAACCCATTGTTGGGTTGCTGCCACCGAATTGGTAGTTTTAACAAAATTTTGCAGTTTATTATTATTTTGAATATTATTATAAATATATATAAACTGTAAGCAGCAATAATGTTCAGCAAAGTAAGATCTACAAAAAAGTTAATATGACCAAAATTGTCAATTGACCCCTTAAGGAGTTATTGCCCTTTAAAGACAATTTTAAACAATTTTTTTTTGTTAAAAATCTTCTCCTCTGAAATACAGGTGAGCAATTCAGGCTCTTGAGAGCCTCTTGTTTATGTTACAAACGACCAGTCCCTAACTTATAAAATGTACTAGTGTGTAAAAACCTGAAGGTCCTAACGGAAGAGGAA